CAGCACCCCAAGTAGCTGGGACTACAGGTGCCCACCACAACGCCTGGCTATTTTTTTTGGTTGCAGCCATCGTTGTTGTTTGGCGGGCCCAGGCTGGATTTGAACCTGCCACCTTAGGTGTATGTGGCTGGCGCCTTAGCCACTTGAGCCACAGGCACCGAGCCAGGAGTCAAAATTTTTAGGCATTTTATATTTTGTCAGTCTTAGCCAAGGACGGATGTAACGAGAGATAAAGAAAAGTGATAAGAGTGAAGGGGCAGGGACATACAGCGGAGGAAGGTCATAAACTAATTGTACTTAATAATGTAATTATGATTATGTCAGTGCTTACATGCTCATATCCGCATGAAGGTGTAATCATCTGTAAAAGTAGCTTGCAAAGCAGTGTTTATGGACTTTGCTGCATAATTAAGAACTCCAAGCAGTAATTAGTGGTATTGGCCTATTTTCAAATGAATGAAGTGAGCCTGAAAGAGCTTTTTACTCAGAGGCAAAGCCAGGATGACAAGCCAGATGTGTCTGACCAAAGCTGCGTTCTTAGCCACTGTATCCCATAGGCTTTCATATCTGGATTTTGAGGCAGAAAAATTAATAACAAGGGCTAAGGTTAGGCTTAGATAAGAATTAAGGTTTGGTTTGGTTTGGTTTGAGTTATGTTTGGATTGTATGTGTGTGTGTGATCACTAACAACATTTGCTTTCAGAATAAGTAGACAATTTCTAAGAGTCGTTTATGTCACTCTCAGGTCCCTGCTCACTTCACGTCTCCTGTCTCCTGGGTCTCCCCTGGTGACTTGTTCCATTCCATCATGCCTCCATTTCTCCTACAGAGCTCCTTGTGGGGTGTGTTACCGTGTGACTGTTTAGATCTGTGGTTCTCAGCTGTGGATGCATAGTGGAACCACCTGGGAGGTTTGAATATATAAGGATGCCTGGGCCTCATTTCAGATGGATTGACAAAGAGTCTCTGGGGTTGAAGTCCTGGATCTGGCATTTTTAAACCTTCCTAGGTGAATGTAAAGTCAGCCAGGACTCTAAGCCAACAAAATTAGACATGAAACACCTTGGTAATTCTTACTTTTAAAGACCCAGGAATGTAGGCCTGAAAGCACAAGATGTGGGTAAAATTGATCACAGGAGTTTAGAGTCAGGGAAGAGCCTTCTAAGGGACACTGGAGAGCTTGAAGATAGCCTCACAATCAGGGTTCTAGGGACTGTCAAAGACAGATGAGGGCAGAAGAAATATTGCCTACCTCACATGTTTGCTCATTGATTTCTGGGTCTGGGAAAGAGATTCTGAGGCTGGATACAGAGGGGACACAGTGCTTGGCAGGTAGGTGACAGCCATTATTTTGAAATTAGGTGTGCAGGAACCTTCCCAAGTCAACTTTTTTTTTTTTTTTTTTGAAACAGAGTCTCACTATGCTTGGTAGGGTGCTGTGGCGTCACAGCTCACAGCAACCTCCAACTCTTGGGCTTATGCAATTCTCTTGCCTCAGCCTCCCAAGTAGTTGGGCATCCCCCACAATGCCTGGCTATTTTTTTGTTGTAGTTGTCATTGTTGTTTAGCAGGCCCGGGAGGGTATGTGGCCGGTACCCTAACCATTGAGCTACAGTCAACTTTTTACTATACACCTGTCATCTGAAACTGTAAGGCCTATTTTTGACTGGAGAGATGTTTGGGGCATCTTGACCCCTGCCAAGTTTTTTTTTTTTCTTTTTTAGACAGAGTCTCCAGCTGTTGCCTTGGGTAGAGTGCTGGGCATCACAGCTCACGGGTGCCCACCACAATGCCTGGCCGTTTTTTGGTTGCAGTTTTCATTGTGCTCAGCAGACCCAGGCTGGGTTCAAACCTACCACCCTAGGTGTATGTGGCTGGCACCCTTGCCAACTGAGCTACAGTTGCCGCCAGACCCCTGCCAAGTTTTTTTTTTGTTTTTTTTTTTGAGACAGAGCCTCAAGCTGTTCCCCCTGGGTAGAGTGCTGTGGCATCACAGCTCACAGCAACCTCCAACTCCTGGGCTCAAGTGAGTTTCCTGCCTCCGCCTCCCAAGTAGCTGGGACCACAGGCGCCCGCTACAATGCCTGGCCAATTTTTTTTTGGTTGCAGCCATCATTGTTGTTTGGCAGGCCCGGGCTGGATTCGAACCCACCACCTTAGGTGTATATGGCTGGCGCCTTAGCCACTTGAGCCATAGGTACTGAGCCCCCCTGCCAAGTTTTATGCTGAGTGTCAGTTGTATCCTCTGTGTTAAGAGTTCTGGTTTCTGACACTGCATTTTTTTTTCCCATTTGTATTTAGGTAACACACAGGTTTCTAATCCCCATGTGATATGCCAGCAAGAGAGCATTGAAGAGGAGTGGATGGGTTTACTGGGGTGCCTTGCCAAGCTGTCTATCTGTAAAAAGAAGAAAGGTAAGTAATCATTAAGGTAAGCTTCCAGTTGGGTTTTAAGACCCAATTTAGGAGGTGCTAGGAAACCTAGTAGATGGGTAGTCTGCTTTTTGGGGTTGCAAAGGCCTGCCTCAGCAAACCCACTTTTAACTGGAGAAACAGATTCATGTTTGCCTGATTCTTTGCAGGCCCAGAACCCAGGGGGAGGTGATTGGTGTTTCAACTTTTAAAAGATGTGGGCTACAGATTACTTAAGATTTAAAAAAAAGAAAAAAGGATTTTCTGGCTTGTGGCTGCATAGACACCATTGGTCCTTATGCTCAACTGTGCATATGGAAAAGTTGACACCAGAGTTCCTCAGAGACGTCTCACTGCTTGGGGACCTCTCACACCCAAGCAGTGGGGAGGAACTACACCTCCTATTTCTCCATTTCAATCTCCAGTTACTCAAAATTGTAGGGTCCTATTTAGGTGGGTGTGAGTGGGCTTTTCCCAAAGTCTAACTTTCTGTCTGTTGCAGATTACTGTAAGAAGTACAGAAAATACGTGAGGAGCAGATTCCAATGCATTGAAGACAGGAACGCCCGCCTGGGTGAGAGCGTGAGCCTCAGCAGACGCTACACACGGCTGCAGCTGGTCAAGGAGCATCGCAGCCAGCAGGAGCGGGAGCAGGAGCTCGTGGCCATTGGCAGGACCAAGATCTGGGACAAGCCCATGAGTCCCATTAAGATGGAATTGCTATTTGAACCCGAGTGTGAATTCTCTGAGCCCATACACACTGTGGTATTTCAGGGAGCGGCAGGTATTGGGAAGACAATATTGGCCCGCAAGATTATGTTGGATTGGGCGTCGGGGAAACTTTACCAAGACAAGTTTGACTATTTGTTCTATATTCATTGTCGGGAGGTAAGCCTGGTGACAGAGAGGAGTCTGAGAGACCTGATGGTGAGCTGCTGCCCTGACCCAAACCCACCCATATGCAAGATTGTGAGCAGGCCTTCCAGGATCCTCTTCCTCATGGATGGCTTTGACGAGCTGCAGGGTGCCTTCGACGAGCACACAGGGGCGCTGTGCACCGACTGGCAGAAGGCTGAGCGCGGAGACATTCTCCTGAGCAGCCTTATCAGAAAAAAGCTGCTTCCCGAGGCTTCTCTGCTCATCACCACAAGGCCCGTGGCCCTGGAGAAGCTGCAGCACCTACTATACCATCCCCGTCACATAGAAGTCCTGGGTTTCTCAGAGGCCAAAAGGAAGGAATATTTCTTCAAGTATTTCTCAGATGAAACCCAGGCCAGGGAAGCCTTCAGACTGATTCAGGAGAATGAGGTCCTCTTCACCATGTGTTTTATTCCCCTGGTCTGCTGGATTGTGTGCACTGGACTGAAGCAGCAGATGGAGAGTGGCAAGAGTCTTGCCCAGACATCTAAGACCACCACGGCAGTCTATACCTTTTTCCTTTCCAGTTTGTTGCAATCCCGAGGAGGGAGCCATGAGCACTACCTTGCTGCCCACCTTCGGGGGCTCTGCTCTTTGGCTGCAGATGGAATCTGGAACCAAAAAATCCTCTTTGATGAATCTGACCTCAGGAAACATGGCCTGCAAAAGGTGGACGTGTCCTCTTTCCTAAGGATGAACCTGTTCCAAAAGGAAGTGGACTGTGAGAAGTTCTACAGCTTCATCCATATGACTTTCCAGGAGTTCTTTGCTGCCATGTACTACCTGCTGGAGGAGGAGGAAGTGGAGGAAGAGGAAAGGATGAGGAATGTGCTAGGGAGGAGTTCGAAGCTTCCCAACAGAGATGTCACGGTCCTTCTTGAGAACTATGGCAAATTTGAGAAGGGCTATTTGATTTTTGTTGTCCGTTTCCTTTTTGGCCTGGTAAACCAGGAGAGGACCTCTTATTTGGAGAAAAAATTAAGTTGCAAGATCTCTCAGCAAATCAGGCTGGAGTTGCTGAAATGGATCGAAGTGAAAGCCAAGGCCAAGAAGCTGCAGATTCAGCCCAGCCAGCTGGAATTGTTTTACTGTTTGTACGAGATGCAGGAGGAGGACTTTGTGCAAAGGGCCATGAACCACTTCCCCAAAATTGAGATCAATCTATCCACCAGAATGGACCATGTGGTTTCTTCTTTTTGTATTGCAAACTGCCATAGTGTAGAATCACTTTCCCTGGGGTTTCTGCATAATACACCCAAGGAGGAAGAAGAGGAAGAGGAGGAAGGTCGACACCTGGACATGGTCCAGCGTGTCCTCCCAGGTCCTCACGCTGCCTGTTTCCACCGGTAAGGAAATTCAGCTTCTAGCAGGTAAAAGAACACACTGTCTGCTTTCTGGCCACCTTTTTCTTTTTAAAAAATGTTTAGTTATGGTCATATAACAGGCATATGTTTATGGGACACACGTGAGGTTTGATGGTCATATGGTATGTAATGATCCAAACCAGGGTAATTGGAGTATCCATTACCTTAAGCATATACTTTTTTTTTTTTTTGGTGTTAAGAATGTTCCAATTTCACTCTTTTTTTAATTTATTTTTTGGTTTAGATCTATTTATTTGCTTTTAATTTTTTATTTTTAACTACTATGGGTACATAGCTGTTGTATTTCTGGGACATATATGATATTTCTTACAGGCATGTGTAGTTCTCAAATCAAGATAATTAGGGGTATCCATTACCTTAAGCATTTATTATTTCCTTATGTTAGGAACATTCTATCTTCACTCTTCTGGTTATTATAAAGAATACAATAACTTACTATTGATCATAGTCCCCCTGGTTTGCTAATCAAATACTATATCTTTTTCATTCTGTCTAACTGTATATTTGTACCCACTAAGCATCCCCACTTTAATCTCGCCTTCCTCCTACTCTTCCTAGTCTCTGATAACTATCATTCTTATCTCTATCTCCCTGAGTTCAACTCTTAAAATTTTTAGCTCCCGTGTATGAGGGAGAGCCTGTAATATTTGTCTTTCTGTACTTGGCTTTTTTACACTTAACATAATGATCTCCAGTTCCATCTCCACATTGCAGAAAATGATAGGATTTCATTCTTTGAAATGAAATAATATGAATAATATTCCATTTTGTAAATACACCACATTTTTCCTTTTTTGAGACAGATTCGTACTCTGTTGCCCTGGGTAGAGTGCTGGGGCATCATAGTCCACAGCAACCTCAAACTCTTGGTCTCAAGCAATTCTCTTGCCTCAACCTCCCGAAAAGCTGGGACTACAGGTACCTGCCACAAGGCCTGGCTGGGTTTTTTTCTATTTTTAGTAGAGATGGGGGTCTCTTGCTCAGGCTAGTCTCAAACTCCTGAACTCAAGCAGTCTACCTGCCTGGGCCTCCCAGAGTGCTAGGATTACAGACATGAGCCATGGTACCTGACTATGCAGCACATTTTCTGTATCCATTCATTCATAGATGAGTACTTAGGTTGATTCCATATCTTGGCTATTGTGAATAGTGCTGCAATAAACATGGGGGTGCAGATACCTCTTTGATATACTGATTTCCTTTCTTTTGAATATATACCCAATAGTGGAGTTGCTGGATCATATGGTTGTATTTTTAGTTTTTTGAGGAACCTCCATACTGTTCTCCATGGTGGTTGAACTAATTTGCACTCTCACCAACAGTTAAGAGGTTTCCCCTTTCTCACATCCTCACCAGCATGGTTTATTGCCATCTTTTACATAAAAGGCATTTTAACTGGAATGAGATGATACCTCATTGTGGTTTTGATTTGCATTTCTCTTCTTTTTGTTTTTTTTGAGACGGAGCCTCAAGCTGTCCCCCTGGGTAGAGTGCTGTGGCCTCACTCACAGCAATCTCCAACTCCTGGGCTCAAGCGAGTCTCCTGCCTCCGCCTCCCAAGTAGCTGGGACCACAGGCGCCCATCACAATGCCTGGCTATTTTTTTGGATGCAGCCATCGTTGTTTGGCGGGCCCGGGCTGGATTCGAACCCGCCACCTTAGGTGTATGTGGCTGGCGCCTTAGCCACTTGAGCCACAGGTGCCGAACCTGCATTTCTCTTCTGATCAGTGATGTTGAACATTTTTTTCTTCCACCTATTGGCTACCTTTTTCTCAGCTCTTGCTTCCTCTCTTCTCTTCTCAAGTGTTTTGTGAATATAGTTGCCACAGCTACATAATGCTAGCATTATCCACTTCTACGAGAACCCTACATTGGCAGAGATTGACTTGTGGTGTGTTCATAAATGGGATGAGAAAAAAACAGCAACAATAAAACAAGAAACAAGAGTTTGAGAAATGTCAGTTCATTACAAGTTATTAGATGGGGTATAGATTGCATACAAATGTTGGTCAATTTAAATTGGTATAATCTTCTTGGGGCACTAACACTTAGTAGTCAAAGCTTAAGGGGAAAAACAACCCCAGATGATCTGTGTCCTGGGAACATAGGGAACAGGAAGCCCTTTGGGCTGAAGGCTGGTGAGGGGAGCTTCCTAAGAAAGGTGAAGTTTGAGCCTGCCTTAAAGGATTGGCAGGACATGGGTGAGTAGAGGAGGAGGTAAAGGGTTGAACAAAATTATGAACGTAGTCTGAGTCTATACAGTGAAATAGCTACGTCATCAGGCCTCTGAAGTCCTTTTGTGGGTTATTACGCGACTCCTCCCATCTCAGGGGCCACTCACTGCAGGTATAGGAAGCTGGCCACTCTGTGGGTGTATGGGTTAAGCTCTGTAGAGACACTTCACATAGGGCAAAAGGAAGGAAAACAGGAGGCTTGACCTCTCCACTGGCAGCAGTGAGTTCAGCTCTGTGCCTTGATGTCATCACTACTGGGACTACCTATCTTGTTAACATCATCAATGCCAGGACTACCAGTCTCGTTGACATCGTTGATATTAGGACCACCTACCTCGTCATCCTTTGGCTGTGAAGACTGAACGCCCTCTAGGGCTGCAGTGGTGGCTAAGATCCAGGTCTTGCTCACAGGACTTGAGTTCTGGTTGGGGGAATGGTCAAGAAATAGTGTGGAAGGTAAAGGGGTTGTGGGCTATGATGTCCCTTGAAGGACACTCAAACCACACTGTGGAGAGCAGGGGCAGGTTAAGGAAACTGTTGCCTTCAGCTAGATCCTGAAAGACTGGGACTGAAAGACCTGAGTGTAGACAAGGAAGGTACAGACAGATGGAATAGTGGGTTTAGAGGGCAGGCTTAGGAAACCAGGGTACATTTCAGTAAGGCAGATAGCTCAGAATGGCTAGAAAAGAGCCAGGCGCAGTGGCTCATGCCTGTAATCCTAGCACTCTGGAAGCTGAGGCATGTCGATCACTGAGTCAGGAGTGATAGAAATGTGAATGCATGTTGGAGTCACCTGAAACTTTAACAAATATCCATGTCACCCACCTTGTTTCTAGATTTTATTTCCCTGGGTGGTGCCTGGCCTCCGGAATTTTGAGATCATCTTGGATGCTCTGTGCAGGCTGTGTGAGGACTGTTTTCTGGAATGTTCACAGAGTGTCCAGGGTCCTGGGCACAACAGTAGACTGATGAGGGAGGCAGGTGAAGGACAACAAGAAAGGAGCTGGAGGATGCTCATGGTCATCCAAAATCACAAGCTCACAATCTGTGCACCTTAAAATGTGCAGAAGTGGTCTTACCAAGGCTCACTCGGCCTTCTTTGTTTCTCTGGAAATGATTTTCAGTTTCGTGATCCATTTTTTTCTTTTTTCTTTTCTTTCTTTTTTTTTTTTTTTTTTTTTTGAGATAGTCTCTTGTTGCTCTGAGCAGAGTGCCGTAGCATCATAGCTCACAGTAAACTCAAACTCTTGGGCTCAAGAGATCCCCCTCCTCAACCTCCTGAGTAGCTGAGACTATAGGTGCTTACTACAATACTCAGTTATTTTCTTTTTTCTATTTTTAGTAGAGATGGGGTCACCCTCTTGCTCAGGCTGGCCTGGGACTCCTGAGCTCAAACAATCCACCTGCATTGGCCTCCCAGAGTGCTAGGATTACAGATGTGAGCCACTGTGCCCGGCCTTGTGATCCATTTCTTAACCCCTGGGAGTCCTATCTCTTAACTGGTGCCCCTGGCACCTACTTCCAGTTTGTTATTGTGAGAGGCTCATGTTCTTTTCTTTCCCTCCTTCCCGTTTCTAGCTTGGTGAACTGCTATCTCACTTCCAGCTTTTGCCGAGGCCTCTTCTCAGTTCTGAGCACCAACCAGAGCCTAACTGAACTGGATCTCAGTGACAACACTCTGGGAGACTCAGGGATGAAGGTGTTGTGTGAAGCACTCCAGCATCCTAGCTGCAACATTCAGAGACTGTGGTAAGTCCCCTGTGTGTGCATCAGTGTGTGTGACAGGCAGATTCTGAAGAAAGACCTCACACTGGGTCAGTGGCATATTACCTCCCCAGGGCTGACATAATGGAGTGTCACAAACTGAGCAGCTTAAACAACAAAGTTTGAAGGCTCAAAGTCCAAAGTCAAGGTGCTGGCAGGGTTTGTTCCATTTGAGACCTTTCCCCTGGCTTGGAAGTGCCCCTTGTCTTCACATTGTCCTCCCTATTGGTGTGTTTGTGTTCTAATCCAGTGATTTTCAACTGGTGTACCACAAAAATTTTTAAAGAACATTAATTAAATGATTTCTGAAAGAAGTTGAAAGCGCAGTAAGAATATTCTTTTTTTAACTCTTTTTTTTTTATTAACTTAATTTAAGTGTGGCATGGAAGCTTAACTATAGGTTCAAGTGTGCCAAGATATAAAACATTGAAAAACACTGCTCTAAGCTCTTCCTTTAAGGGACACCAGTCAGAATGGATTAGGCGCTCCATGGATGACCTCATTTTAACTTCAATACTTCTTTAAAGACCCAATTTTCAAGTACAGTCACATTTTGAGGTCCTGAGGCTTAGAGTTTTGACATAGAAATTTTGAGGAAGGCATAATTCACCCTGTGACAAGTGAGAAGGCAGAACGAATTAGAGCCCCATTGTTGGGGAGTTTTGGATGGGGAAGTATAAAAGGGGAACTGACAAGAAAGCAGTCCCTTGGGGTGCAACAAAAATCCACAACGTTCAGTATCTTCCATTTCTTCATGGCCATGTTCATAGATGAGAATTGAGAGAGTTTCGTCATGTACAACGTGGTTAAGTGAGCTAGAAACCATCAGGATACTCGGTATTGGTTGAAATGCCACAGGGAATCTCCCATGACTTTATTAAGGACATGCCTGCTCTCAGCCAGCACAGTAACTCAGAGTCACATGACCCACATTGCAGAGATGCCTGGGCCATTTCTCCAGCTCTGTTTCATCACGGGCTTTGTGGGTGCATGCAGGCATCTGAATTTTTGATGAGCTACATAGCAACTTTAAAGCCCACCACTCCAGGATGTTTTTATAGCTCCGTCTCTTGCTCATCCCTTCCCATCACTGCTTTTATCAGTTGTACCTACTAGGTAAGCCACTGCCCACTTTTCCTCATTCTCTGTCCACTGGTCTATGTGCAACAAGCACCTCCCCTTTCTAGACACTGCCGTGACCTCTGAGGCAGCAGCTCATTCAGGATAGAGCTCATGTTTGTCTGTCTTGCCGTCATCTTTTCAAAGCTAGACAGGCATCTTTCTTTTTTTTATTTTTTTTGTGAGACATTCTCACTACATCACCCTCAGTAGAGTGCTGTGGTGTCGAAGCTCACAGCAACCTCCACCTCTTGGGCTTAAATAATTCTCTTGCCTCAGCCTCCCAAGTATCTGGGACTACAGGCACCCACAACAATGCCTGGCTAGTTTTTGTTGTTGTTGCAGTTGTCATTGTTGTTGAGCAGGCCCAGGCTGGGTTTTAACATATCAGCCTCGGGATATATGGCTGGCACCATAACCACTGTGCCACGGGTGCCAAGCCTAGACAGGCATCTTAATTATGTTAGTAGTGCTCAAGAATAAGGCACAAATGAATGGTGGCTATCTGACCTGCCTGGCTTTGGCCCCCTACTAATCCATTCTCCACACAAAAGGCAGAGGATCATATAGAAAATCCTAATTTGATCATGTTATTCCATAGCTTAAATACTTTCTTTCTCTTGGTCTTTTGAGAAATTACAAATCCTCCTCCTCTTCCTAGAAGGCTCTGGCTGTTTTGGGCACTTAACCTCGCTTCTCAGGCTTTGTCCCATGACACTCTCCTCATCACTCCCTGTGGGTGTCCCCATATGATTCTAGAGAGTGAGACATAAGCAGGGAAGTTGGGATGATAATAGGAGGTTTCATGGGTAAGTAGAGATCTAGTTGTTCATTTGCTTGTAGTTGGCATGAAGATGGAGACCAAGAGGAAGGTGGTCCAACAGGCTCTTTAGGCCACATGAGCTATTGTCCTGGAAAGTAACTGGTGCTTTACAGGGACAAAATGCTGTTTTTGTTGGTGGTGGTGGTGATGGTAGTGATGTGTATACACACATATGTGGTTGTAAAACCAACCAGGAATCGGAGCTGCTTGCTCCTTCAGTATAGAGCAGGGGTGTCCAAATCTTCTTTTTTTCTTCTTTTCAGTGGAGGAATAAGCATTGTCTTGGGCCACACATTAAATACACAAACACTAATGAAAGCTGACTAGCCAAAAAATAAAAAGGTTCATGCATACTTTTCTTGATATCTGACACCACAGATAAGCAAAAATATCCTCTCCAAATCCACATGCAACCCCATGAGGGCTGCAGGTTGGACACCTCTGTGAGGGAAGGCTGGGATTAACTCACCAAACAGAACAGGAGGGACAATGTTGACAAAGATAAGAAGTAGATAAGACAACTGTAGGGAGAGAGGCTCCAACAGTTGAGGGCACTTCAACTGTTAGGAGCATACAGTGAAGAGGGAGAGCCCATAGGTGCACCACTCTTCATTCACAAACCAGGAGCTGCCAGGTACACATCTGAGCTGGAGCACAGTGTACCTGGCATTACTTACCACTGACTGGGCTCCACACTGTGGTCTCAGAGAGCCTGGAAGCCAACTTCCCAGCGTTGTCTTGCTGTATTCAGGAGTTCTTTGATCAGATGATATTTCCATGAGAACTCCATTATAATTCTTCCTTCACAACATGAGCACATACATGCCCCTCCCTGGTGCAGAGAAAAAGCATAGAGCGGAAGGCAGTGGCAGAGAAGCAGGCTGTGTTCTGACACTTTCTGCTTCTGTACTTGGCGTGAAGGTTGGGGCGGTGTGGCCTTTCCCATCAGTGCTGCTTCGACATCTCCTTGGTCTTGAGCAGCAACCAGAAGCTGGCAGAATTGGACCTGAGTGACAACGCCCTGGGAGACTTCGGAATCAGACTCCTGTGTGTGGGACTGAAGCATCTGTTCTGCAATCTGAAGAAGCTCTGGTGAGTGAGAACTCATTTCTCAGGTGAAGCTCTGCCAACAAGATATTTTGGGTGCCCTGGCTTCAAGCAGGCACAATGGGCTAGAATATTAGTGTGAGAATGGCCTTGGCCACTCAGGGGACATCCTGCGTTTATCTCTGGGTGTTTGTCAATAATTCAGTCAGTATTTATTACAGGGAAAGCTACCTAGTAAACCCTGACAAGGAGCACAAATAATAAAAATGATGGCTGCCTTCAAGGTACTTAGGCCTACCTGAGAAAATAAAATAATACAATGCATTGCTTTAGAAGAGTTTTGGAACATCATGACAAGCCTTTGGTCTCCCACACTGAATAGGAAAAATGGTGCTAAAGCAGTGCAGGCAGTTCATGTGGTATGTGGTCCTTTGCTGAATGCTTTGGGAGACTTGAATTTTGAAGAAGGAAAGAAGAAAGTACTTAAAAATGATAGGGCCCGGCTTGGCACCCGTAGCACAGTGGTTATGTCGCCAGCCACATACGGTGAATTTGGCGGGTTAGAACCTGACCCAGCCCAGGTCAGCCAAACAACAGTGACAACTGCAACAAAAAAATAGCCAGGCATTGTGGCAGGCTCCTGTAGTCCCAGCTACTTGGGAGGCTGAGGCAAGAGAATCGCTTAAGCCCAAGAGTTTGAGGTTGCTGTGAGCTGTGACGCAACAGCACTCTACTGAGGGTGACATAGTGAGACTCTGTCTCAAAAAAAAAAAATGGTAGGGCCAATTGACACCTATTAGGATTATTATAAAACAAAAATAAACCAACAAGATAATTGGAAAATAAGTACTGGCAAGGAGTGGAGAAACTGGAAGCCTCGTGCCTCACTCACTGGTGGGAGTGTAAAATGGTACAGTACTGAGGGCAATTCCTCAAAAAGCATAGAATTCATTAAACATAGAACTACCATGTGAGCCAGCAATCTCACCTCTGGGTGTATCTGCAAAAGAGTTGAAAGCAGGGATGTAAACACATATTTGTAGCCCATGTCACAGCAGCATTATTAATAACAGATAAAAGGTAGAAATGGCCCTAGATGTCCACTGATGGATGGATGGATTTAAAAAGGGCTATTAATATACTTAACATCCCTAAAATGAATTCTGATGCATGCTACAACAGGGATGAACCATGAGGATGTGCTAAGTGAGATGAGTCAGACAGTTCTGTATGATTCCGCTTATGTAAGGTACGTAGAATAGTCACATTAGTCATGGAAACACAAAGGAAGACAAATTAATAAGTACAGAGTTTCAGTTTTGCAAGATAAAAAGATGTCTGGAGATAGATGATGGGGATGGTTGTGCAACAATGTGAATGCACTTAAGTCTATTGAATTGTGTGCTGAGAAATTATTAAAATGATAAATCTTATTTCACATATATTTTGCCACAATAAAAATAAATGTAGGGAGTTGGAAGATGGAGTGTTGGAACAAACTTGGAAGGTATTTACTTGTTGCTCCACCAAACAGAAAAGGAAATGAAAACTTGAAACAGAGCTTGGCCTCACTCCCTTCCTGTAGCCTGGACTGGAGGTGGTGGCAGGTGCATATGCCTCCTTCTTAGTGGAGGGCAGTGGAAGGGCCTGATTCTGATATTCTGTCCTCTTTATGGAAGGCTGGTCAGCTGCTGTCTCACATCAGCATGTTGTCAGGATCTCGCGTCCGTCCTGAGCCCCAGTCGCTCCTTGACCAGACTCTATGTGGGGGAAAACACCTTGGGAGACTCAGGAGTTGGAATTTTATGTGAAAAAGCCAAACATCCACAATGTAACCTGCAGAAACTGGGGTAAGTCTTTGGAAGTGTCTCAGCAGAAAAGCAATTTCTCATCAGCCGGGAATTATTTGACAAACGTGGATGGGGGTTACTCTCAAAAAAGTCAATCAGATGGGGTCGAAGGTAAAGACGTAGCAGTATCAGAAGGGGTTTGAAGTACTGAATACTTGTAATACATGCCGTTGCTAATAAGGTGATTTATGCTAATTTATGATTATAAAATTGGAGGTGGAAGAAACCCTGGAGATTCTGTATTCCCACTGAGTAAAACACTTTCTGAGACATTTGCACGAATAGTCACCCATTTGATGTGTGAGCACCTCCAAGCCTGCAAGTTACTGCTGCACAGTAAGGCCCCTACACTAGGAGAGAGTTCTGATACCGATGCAGCACCTTCTCTGGTTTCTGTCAGTTAGTCCTTGTCCTTCTTCCCAGGCCTTTGAGAAGCAGCTCCATCCCAATTCCCCAGAAACAACACTCATACCCTAAGTCGTCTTCTTAGATTATGTAGATGTCTCTACATCCTCAACTGTGGCATGGCTCAGCACCTTCACCTGGTTAGTCATGCTCTCCCAGGTAAGGGCTGGCTTGTTACTGACCCTTTTTTGTTTTTTATTTTATCTCTCTATATACATGTGTTTATTTGATTTCCACTTTTTGCCTTCGCAAAACTAAAAAGGCTTACAATTTAATAACAATAACAATGTTTAAGATAAGGACTAGAAACAAAACTCTCATAAAGAACGATCTCATAAATACATTCGGAAAAGAAATCAGACGATTGCTGCAATGAAATATTGAACAACAACAATAATAATAACAATGCAAAAAAAGTAACATTCACATTGTCAGATAAAAGTATGACCCTTTTTAAAATGTGGTGCCCTGACGATGCCTGGTGGAACCTTTATCTCCTATACCAGGGCAGTATGCTTCCACTGGGGGAGCCTGTGATTTCCTTGTTTTTGACAGTCAGATAAGATTTTTGGTTCTTGTTGAAAATCTGTAGTAAATAATTATGCAGAATACCCACTAATAATCATGCACTTGCCAATATATAACTTTACATATAGCAAATTCTTTACGTGGGTTATATCCTTTGGCCTCATAAAGATAATACAAAGTAGGTATTAGTACCTTCAATTTAAAGAGGAGAAAAACAAGGTTTAGGGAGCCTCATACCTTTGCTCAAGGACACCCACATAGGAGGTGGAATTCAATGCAGGCACACCTCTGTGACTCCACCATCCACTGCCTTAATTCCTGGTGGGTTTCCTCATTTGGCTCTCAGTGTAAGTGGACGGGGGGAAGTGTTACATTTAGCTCTGCTAAATTTCATCTT